AGTAGGGAAGAAAAGCTAAAAGCTGTCGCTACTCCTCCATATGTACTGTGTAGACCATGCACAGTGCTGAAAATAAGTAAAAGACAGCAGCTCTAACTGCTTTGAACCATAGTGTGGGCTTCAGGCAGTCATGAAACAGTTCAAGCAGGCAGCTGCGTCAGCAAGCACAGGCTGCAAAGGAACAAGTGAAGGTTTACTCCTGGCTGAAAAGAGAAGAAAAGAAACACAATGTTTCGACTGTGGAGCCTTCTTTGGGTGTGGACCCCGAAGAAGAAGGCTACCACGCTGAAATGTTGTGTCTTCTCCGTTCGGCATGGAATAAATCTTGACTTGTTCCCTTCAGGTAGTCATGGCCTACTCCTGGGGGCGGGGCCACGGCTTTCTATAGGGGGTGGGGCCACAACCTCCTCCCGGGGGCGGGGCCACATCTTTCTACAGGCGGCGGGGTCACATCTTTCTACAGGGGGCGGGGTCATGCACTCCTCACTGCTCCTCCTTCCCCGTCAGGAGCTCCCGCTTCTCCTGCAGGCTCCTCTGCATCTCCCGCCTCGTGGCCATGAGTCTGGTCTGCAGGGCTGCCACCTCGGCCGACAGCTCGATCACTGCAGGTGGGACAGACAGGACACTGAGAGAGTAGACAGTTGGACAGACAGGACACTGAGAGAGTGGACAGGAGGACAGACAGGACACCGCTGTGAGAGTGGACAGTGGGAAAGACAGGGAATCGCTGTGGGAGTGGACAGGGAGACAGACAGGACACCACTATGAGAATGGACAGTGGGACAGACAGGACACTGTGGGAGTGGACAGTGGGACAGACAGGACACTGTGAGAATACTATGTGCGGTGGACAGGACAGCAGTTTTCTCCACCCTGCTCTGCCCTCCAGGATTCAGCCAGAGCGTGTCGGACTCATCGGTGCCCTGCGTCAGCAGTCAAGAGCACCGTACTATTGTGTTGTGCATGGGAAAACACTACTGCTCAGTCCCTTCTCCAACAGAAGGAAAAAAATGAATAACGAATGAATAGAGAATTTTATGTTATAATTTATCCTGCATGGTTGCTACACGGGTTTCTGTACTTCTACCCGATCCAGAAAGTGGAAGGTCTGAATGCTGAGTGAAACCAGACATCTGGGCAGGCAAGCTGTGCTCTGGGCACAGGAGTCCTTGAGTACCCTGGGAGCTCAGGAACCTGCAGTAAGCCTACATGCAGGATGTCTGCCTTGTCGAAATTAAGCATGTGCATTCAGTCTTCAGATATCAATTGATTTTAGACTTAGGCATAATATTATGCACATAATATTCATTGGAAATTGAACTTGCTTTAGTTAAGGAAATATGTCCACTCTGGCCTGTGGTAGAAATGAGTCAGAAAATGTTTTGAGATGATATTCATTTTGAAAAAAATACTCTTGTAAAATAACAATGGTGGCATTTGGAATTCTGTGCCTACAGCTATCGTGAGCCGTCTGTGCAGGCCGACTCACCCCGCTTGAAGTTGGACTGAGCTTGTTTGAGACTCTGTGGGACCAGGATGCCAAACCACTTCAGTGGGTCCTGAGGCTGAGGCTGTCCTCCGACCTGCCTGCTCACGTCTTTCAGCAAAGATGCCTGTTGAGGCTCCTGAGGCTCCTCTGTGGGGTCCTTCGGTTTATTTGTCTTTCTCCTTCTCATGCCTACATTTCAGAAAACATTAAATCAACAACTATGTGTGATTTTCTAAGTGCCCGGTCTTGCTATAGTTGTTCATTCTGCAGACACAATTGTGAGAAAAAAAATTGTGAAGTTAGAGGCAGGCAGAGAGAGCAGCTTAGTAATTTAGGTCCTAGATCACCCCGTCACCATCACAATTTCCAGGGAAATAAGGAACAAAGATAATTCTGTTGTTCTGCTCAGCTCCACAGGCCAGGGTTCACTTTTAGCAGCTCTGGTGAGCACTGCCAGGGAAAGAATGAGCCAGTGGAATACGTATTTGGGTTGAGTGTGTCTGGAAATAAATGTAAAGTAAAGGTACATATGTAGGGCAGGGTAACGCTACACCCTGCAGAAGCACACAAGCAAAATAAAAGGATAATGTTTTCAGCAACACAGAACTCCAGTAGGACCAGCTCTCAGCTGAAATCAGGAGTACCACTGACAGTGCGGTGGGCAGAGCCGGCGGTAGTTTTTCGGGTGAAGTCGAAGAGAGGATCTACCTTCCTCTTTCGGCCCGATCTCCTCTGGGAACCCGCCGGGAGGCTGGAGCTCCTTCCTCTCGGTGCGGAAAGCAACCTCGCCGGTCTCCAGCGCCCTGTCCCAGAGCAACAGACACACAGCTCAGAGCACACGACGGCCCCCATGCACCCCCCCAGAACTCTTCCTTTTTCTGCGGATCGTTTTGAAGGACTTTCAGATATTTCATTTTTTAAAAGAGGTCGACACATCAAAATTCCTTTCAGCTCCTTACCGAGCTTATTCTCAGTTTTATCAAAGACCATAATGCAGAAGACAACACCCCCTTCTTTCACTTGTTTGTCTCTGTCTACACTGTCTCCCAGGAGCAGCAGGACGTGAGCAGACAGCTGGTCTGCGGGGAGGAGAGTGGCTCTCACACACCTGTGGTGGACGTGGACGAGCGGCTCCATCTCGCTGCCGTACTGCAGGGCAGACACGCTCTTGTTGCCCATGGCGTAGCGCGCTTTGGAGATCGCAAACCAGCCCTGCGGGATCGGACATCACACAGCAGCCACAGGGGCTGGGCTGAGACGGTGTGCAACTCCAGAACACTTCTTGTTAAACGGAATGCAACGAAGAAACAATTTTTTTTTGTATTGTTGCATTCTCAGAATCCCTCGGCCCCCCACGCCCCCGCCACCCCTGTCCAAAAGGACTCCCCCCCCCATGGTCAGAAGCTGAACCCCACCCAACCAAACACCCGCACTGCTCTGGCACTCTTCTAGCAGCGAGGAGGAGACTCTGACCCATCTCCTGTGGTCCTGCCTGTCGCTAAGGCCTCCTGGGCCCAGTTTCAGGACTGGTTACAGGCCCTGCTTGTGTGGGAGTGCAGCCAGGTCTGCCTCTGTCGCCCAGTTTCTACGGCCAGGCTGTGGTCACTGAGCCTGGACTTCGTCAGGGTCTGTTTCTTATCTCGGTCAAATATTCAGCTAGCGTGCATTTATCGTTTGGGGTTCTGTAGCATTCCAGTTTATGTTGTGTGTGTCTGTCCCCGTGTGTGAGATATTGCTGTTTGATCTGTGCTGTGATACTGGTTGGTTTGAAAGGCATCGAGGTTCCAGTCAAGGGAGCAGGTGGCCTGGCCCTGTACATGATTATAGAGAACTATTACCTCAGAGAACTGTGGAGAGAATGAAAGGAGGAAGCAGAAAATCTGTGGAGAATAGAGGGCAGAGGACTGAGCCTCAAAACCCTGCGATACTGATTATCATGTACAGAAAAACGGGACCGTCATGCTTTGGAAGCGATTCAAAAAGACATGTGAACTAATGCACCTGAACAGTTGGAATTATTGTTATGTAACTTACATACTGTTTTAGGTATATATAATATTATAACGTTTTCCTTATTGTGCGCGACTCACTCACCTCCTCTATGAGTGAATTCAAAGTCCTTTTTCTATCCTCGAGGAGTTCCAGCTGATCCATGAACTGCAAAAGCAGCTCATCCAAACGGAGAGACACCTCTGTCACTTCGACACCCATCTGTCTGTCTGACTCACTGAACCGGTCTTGTCCGGCAAACAAGCGACACCGAATCAGGGAAACGGGCAGAAAGGCTTCTCACTAAGGACGAACACACGGAGAGACCTCTCTCTGCCTCTAACTACTGTGCAACATAAACATTAAATATGTGGAATACAGCTAACAAAGCCCGAATATTAACTTTCAAGAATATGATCTGAAGGTAGATACCGAATGACCTCAAACAAAAAGTCAAAGCAGAGGGCAAAAATAAAACCCTTTCAGTGATTAAACGCTCCAATCTAATCAACTAAAGGTACGCAGTTACGTCGAACAAAATTTAATATTTACGTCCAGTAACCTTGTTTTTAAATAAAGGAGCTTTCATGCGGTACCCCGGAAGTAGAATTTACTCCAACGTCACATGACCAACTCAGCTGAGTCTGAAAGGAGGCCAATCGGCTCCCGGCACTGACAGCCAATCAGAGGCGCCCCAGAACACGTGCTGTACAGCAGTTTTACCTGCTAGTTAAAGGTTCAGACTTTGGAGTAAAAATACAGGGCTCTACAACAGATCGAAACCAATACAAGTGAAACGTATTTATGTTGTAATTGAAAAATCTACCTTTCCCATAATGGCAATCCTAACCGCTAGACCATATGGGAGC